TAGAAGCATGGAAAAAGGAACAAAAGATTGCACAGAAACAAGGAGATTTGTAAACCAAATAGAACTTGTAAGAAAAAAATACAATAATTGAAAACTAAAAACAATGGGAAAAAAGAAAATTTGAAGACAAGGCAAGAAGGCAGGAGTGGATACAAAAATCTGTGACATAATTTATGACAAAAACCTAGAAATAAATATAATGATATTTGTGATCACAATAAGTATAAATGGACTAGACTATGCAGTTAAAAAGGCAGGTTTGGCTGGGCGCGGTGGCTCACGCCTGTAATCCCAGCACTTTGGGAGGCCGAGACGGGCGGATCACGAGGTCAGGAGATCGAGACCATCCTGGCTAGCACAGTGAAACCCCGTCTCTACTAAAAAATACAAAAAAATTAACCGGGCGAGGTGGCGGGCGCCTGTAGTCCCAGCTACTCGGGAGGCTGAGGCAGGAGAATGGCGTGAACCTGGGAGGCGGAGCTTGCAGTGAGCTGAGATCCGGCCACTGTACTCCAGCCTGGGCGACAGAGCGAGACTCCGTCTCAAAAAAAAAAAAAAAAAAAAAAAAGCAGGTTTTCTTTGGCTTTATCTTTTAGGTATGTCTCCTGTAAACTTGAACTTAAAGGCCAAAGAAAAATCTAAGACGTACCAGACAAAGACTAACCAAAACATCGTTATCGTAAGTACTGACAACAAAGAAGATGAAGGCAACATGCAGTCATAGAGACAGAACCACTAAACAATTTTAAAAGGCTCACTTTACTAGGGAAATAGAACAATTCTAAATTAGTATGCACTTAGTAATAAAGCCAATGAAAAAGCAAGTACAACTTTAAGAGAAATTATAAGATCCATTATAATGAAATCTTAGATTCCAGTAAATAAATCAGGTACAAATTAAATCAATAAAGTTGTACCCAACACAACTAACAAGTTTGATCTGAGACAGAACATAATACTCAACTATTAGGTAATACACATTCTTTACCGATACACATGGAATATTCATGAAACTGACTACATGATAGGACATAAACTAGTCTGTTTCAGAAAACCAAACTCTTAGAGATCATGTTCTCTGGCAAATGATATTAGAAATATAGATTAAGGTTAGGCACAGTGGTTCACACCTGTAATCCTAACACTTTGGGAGTTCAAGATGGAATGACAGCTTGAGCCCAGGAGTTTGAAACCAGCTTGGGCAACATAGCAAGACATCTCTCAAAAAAAAAAAAAAAAAAAAAGCTGGGTGTGGTGGCGCTGCCTATAGTCCTAGTTACTCAGGAGGAGGCTGAGGCAGGAGGATCATGACCCAGGAGTTCAAGGCTGCACTGAGCTATGATTGTACCACTGTACTCTAGCCTGGGTGACAGTGAGACCCTGTGTCTTAAAAAAAAAAAAAGAAATATAGATTTAGACAACCTACTATAACCTATCCCTGACATTTGGAAATATACTTTTAAAGAAACTAATGTGTTAAACATTTAAACCTCTTGAAGGATTAATCAAGAAAAATGAGAAAGCACAAATAAACAGGAATGAAATGGGGTCAACTAACAGATGCTATGGAGACTAAAATGATACAAGAATAATACAGACAGCTTCATATAGGAAAAATCTTAAACTAAGATGAAATAGATAAATCCCTAGAAAAAAATAATAAAACTGACAAGAGGCCAGGCATGGTGACTCACGCCTGTAATCCCAGCACTTTGGGAGGCCGAGGCAGGTGGATCACAAGGTTAGGAGATTGAGACCATCCTAGCTTACACAGTGAAACTCCGTCTCTACTAAAAATACAAAAGATTAGCCGGGTGTGGTGGTGGGTGCCTGTAGTCCCAGCTACTCGGGAGGCTGAGGCAGGAGAATGGCATGAACCCAGGAGGCGGGGCTTGCAGTGAGCTGAGATCACGCCACTGCACTCCAGCCTGGGTGACAGAGGGAGACTCCATCTCAAAAAAAAAAAAACAAAACCTGACAAGAATAATATAAAATCCTAAGGCTCTTATAACCTTTAAAGACATTGAATACAAATCTTCCATTAATGACCAAATGGTTTTAAAGACTGTTCTGATCTTAAACACTTCCAGAAAATTGAAAAACTCACCATTTCATGAGGCTAGTATAATTTTGATACCAAAATCAGACAATGATAGGACATGAAAGTATTATAGACTGATTTTACTCATGAACTTAGGAGCAAAACTATTTGTTTTTATTTATTCATTTTTGAGATATCATCTTGCTTAGTCGCCCAGGCTGGAGTGCAATGGTGTGATCTGGGCTCACTGCAATCTCCGCCTCCCGGTCTCAAGTGATTCTGGTGCCTTAGCCTCCTGAATAGCTGAGACTACAGGCGCACACCACCATGCCCAGCTATTTTGTATTTTTAGTAGAGATGGGGTTTCACCATGGCCAGGCTGGTGTCAAACTCCTGACCTCAAGTGATCTGCCCGCCTCGGCCTCCCGAAGTGCTGGGATTACAGGCGTGAGCCACCGCGCCTGGCCTATAGGACCAAAGCTAAATAAAATATTGGCAAATTGAGTCCAGCAATGTATTAAAACACACACCATGACCAAGTTGGGTTTATAATTGGAATTAAAGGTTGGTTTAATATTAAAAAGTCAGTTACCATAATTTATACATTAACAGATTAAAGGAGAGAAAGGAAAAAGCCTTGAATAAAATTCAATATCCATTCATAATACAACTATTAGCAAACTGGATAAAGAAGATAATTTCCTTGGCCAGGTGCAGCAGAGCACTGGCCATCTTAGCACTTTGGAAGGCTGTGGCAGGAGGATTGCTTGAACCCAGGAACTGGAGACCAGCCTGAGCAACATAATGAGACCTCATCTTTACAAAAAAATTTAAACATAAGCTGGGCATGATGGCACATGCCTGTAGTCCCAGCTACTTGGGATACTGAGGCAGGAGGATCACTTGAGCCCAGCAGATCAAGGCTGCAGTGAGCTGTGATCATGCCATGCACTCCAGCCTGGGTAACAGAAACAAAAAGCAAACCAAAACACAAAAACTTCCTTAAACTAATAAAGGCCATTTACCAAAAAAAAAAAAAAAAAAAAAAAAAACTAAACAAACAAACAAAAAACTAAACAGTGAAATGTTAAAAAAAAAAAAAAGAAAATCTTTCAATCAGGGTTAAGACAAAGATGTTCACTATCAGTTCTCTTCAACATTGTTCTGTAGGTGCTAGCTAGCACAGAAATATAAGAAGAAATTTTTAAAAAGTTGTAAGGATCAGAAAGGACAAAAATTGCCATTATTTGCAAATGTTAATTAAAAAACTCAAAGGACATCTAGATACATTGTTAGAACTAATAAAAGTTTAGCATAGTTGTTGGATCTAAAATCAATACATATCAACATTATTTCTATATAATCAGCAATAATCACAATGGAAAGTATAATTTTAACAGGTGCAATTTTACCTGTTACGAGATGGAAACAGGTAAACTAAATTTAATTAAACTGAATTTTAAAAATCAGCACCAATCAGAATGGAAAGTACAATTTAAAAAATTCAGTAATTCAGTAAACTTCAGTTACCATCCATAATAGGTAAACTGAATTTTTTTTTTTTTTTTTTTTTTGAGACAGAGTCTCACTCTTTCGCCCAGGCTGGAGTCCAGTGGTGCGATCTCAGCTCACTGCAAGCTCCGCCTCCCAGGTTCACATCATTCTCCTGCCTCAGCCTCCCGAGTAGCTGGGACTACAGGCGCATGCCACCACGCCTGGCTAATTTTTTGCATTTTTAGTAGAGACGGGGTTTCACTGTGTTAGCCAGGATGGTCTCAATCTCCTGACCTCGTGATCCACCCGCCTTGGCCTCCCAAAGTGCTGGGATTACAGGTGTGAGCCACCGCGCCCGGCCAAACTGAATTTTTAAAATTATACTTTCCATTCTGGTTATTGCTGATTATATAGAAATACTGTTATATACTTCGAATGAAATTAACAAAGTCAATAAAAATAATGAGAAAAATTTTAAGATAAAAACAAATTTTAAAAAGATAAAAACTCAGTTTAACTACAGCATTAAAAACTATAAAACCACTAGGATGAAATCTAATATAAGATGTAAAGGCCTTTATGTAGAACATTTTTAAAGTTTATTGAGACATTAAAGAAGACCTAATAAATGGAAAGCTACAAAATGGTTTTGGCTGGAAAGACTCATTATTGAAAGATGTCAGTTTTCTCCAAGTGGATCAACAGATTCTTTACAATTACAAAGACAATACACACACTGAGACTGACAAAGGATTGGTATCCATCATATGAATCAATGAAAAAAAGACAGACAACCTAACAGAAAAATGGGCAAAAGACATGAATATTTCACAGAAGAGGAATCATGACGGACCCATATATGAAGAAACACTCAATTTCATTAGTAATCAGGGAAATGCAAATTAAACCCACAGTAAGAAACCACATAATAGCCATCCAGTTGGCACATACAAAGACAGTCAAGACCAAGTGTTTGCCAAGATGTGAAGCCATGGGAACTCTCAACCACTGCCAGTGGGAGTGTAAGTTGGTACAAATGCTTTAGAAAACAATTACCAAGTAAAACCCACTCCTTAGAGCAGCAGTTCTCAAAGTTTTGGTTTCAGAATCTCTTTCTAACCTTAAAAACTATTGACGGCCTCAAAGAGCTGTTGTTCATGTGGGTTATATCTACCAATATTTACCATATTAGAAATTAAAACTCAGACTTTTAAAAACAAAAATGTACAAGTATACTTGATTAGCTGCCAGAGTGATGATGTTATCATACATCTGGAAAATTGTGAAAAAATGAGAATGAAATGAACAAATATTGCCTTAGTAGTATTACGAAAATAGTTTTGTCCTCATAGACCCCTCCCAAAAAGGTCTCAGGGACCCCCAGGGGTCCCTGAACCACACTTTGACTACAACTGTCCTAGAGCAACTGCTGTAAAAGTGCACCAGGAGACAATACAAGAAGTCATTCATTCCTCAGATATTTATTGAGCATCTACCTGGTGCCAGACATTGTTCTAGACATTGGGAATATGGTAGAGTACAGAACAGACAAAACTTCCGCCCGCACACAGCTTACATTGTAATTGGGCAGAATGTTCATAGCAGCATGGTTTGTAATTGCAAAATGCTGAAAACAACCGAAATCTCCATAAATAGAAGAATGGATAAATAAATTGTGAAACAGTCATACAATCAAATATCATACAGCCATGAAAACATGAAATACAGTTACATGCATAAACATGGATAGGAATCTCAAAAACAATGTCAGAAAAAAGAGGTCACAGAAGAATACATACAGCATGATTCCATTTACATAAAAGTTCAAAAACAAGTAAATCTAAACAATATATTATTAGGAATACATACATAGACGGTAGAGTCACAAATAAAAACATAGGGAATTATTAACAAAAAATCCAGAAGAATGTTTACCTCATATAATCTATGGAGGGAGAACAAATGGGGGATTCTAGGCAGCTGAGAATGTTCTAGTTCTTAAGCTGAAGGTTGAGTACATGTGTGGCCATGTTATTTTTTAAACCATACATACACAATATACTTTTGTATGTATTATTTCACAACAAACATTTTAAAAGAAAAAAGATATAAGGTTATGCAATACATACTTTCATCAACAAAGAGAAAACATTTTCTGATATTTCAGCCACTACTGTGCTATGCAAATCAGTCAATTATAATAATGGGGGAAGCAATACATGATAATACGAAAAGGAAATGAGTATGGACTATTCCTCACCGAAGTTAACAAGATTCCCACAGGGTCAAGATCCAGTGAGATGGCAATATTATAGCACTGTTCTTCCAAGTTGGCTTGGACTCACTGGCATGACTCTGGTTAACTGGTTACTTTGTTCTCTGGGTATAATTATTTATATAAAGCAGATAATGAAATGATAGGTGATATAAATTCCAAATAAATTGACAAAGACACCACCTCTTTACGGAATTATGTTGACTTTCAAAAGTACAAATTTCCTTTCACATATTCTCCTAATAATGCATTTATGTGTTAAGTATTCCAAAAATATGGAAAGTGCATGGCAGCAACTGACCGTTTCTCCACATTGCTCAATAACAGGTGTCTTACTGGTCACACAAATGTTATAACAATTTTGCAATCATGTCTTTACCAAGGTTATCAATTTCAGTGTCATTTTGTAGACTTAAATGAGACATAGTTAAGATGCAATCTCTCCTGATTCAGAAAACTAGCTAGAAATTTTGATACACAATTTAAAAATCCTCAAAAATTAAATGGATCTTGAAATATCAGTGTGTTCCTGTATCTAAACAGGGCAGGTTAAAGTTATTATCTTGGGTTAGGAAGTTGCAGGAAAGTAGAAAGTATATTCTCCAGGTCAGTCTCTCCAACTGGGTCTAACACAGGGTTGCCAACTCACCAGAAAGCTCCAGGTATTGCTGTAGCTATTTTTAAAATCCTGGGCAGCTACAAGACCTAGAATCTTACCCACATGTAAACTGGACTGGACAATGCCACCAGGGGGTGCTAAACCACAACTGGAAGGACGATTTTGAATCAAGCAGTTTTATCTTCAGATCTCTGCCCGCTCTCTAACATGCTATGCTTTGTTATAGTGGATGATGAACATTATGGCTGTAGCTTTTTGCCCCTTCCCCAGTATGAAAAGAGAAAAGGAGGTAACTCTTCTTAAATTCTCAGAGAACGTCTACTGTATCTTCTCAGTAGGAGGAATGGATAATCTTTTTGGTTGGAGCTGGACATTTGTTGGAGTATAATTTACTAGTGGACATGGTTTTTCTATGTTCAAATCCAAACACCAGCTGCTACCTTTTATTTTTAACCTGTATGTGCTCATACCAAAGGGCTCCTCTTGTGCCTTCCTCAATTCTCATGCTCAGGAATGATAGATCTTTTAGTTTCATATCTCGGGGGGGGTAAGAAGACCATGAAGGGCGAAGTGGGTAAAACGGTGGGGAGAGGGGAGGACATTTCCTTCTCCATGACATCTTCCATATCTGATATGCCACCAATTCATACTTTCTTCTCTTTTATATGTAAACACCCTGACATCTCTAGGCACTCTTCAAATATCTTTTGAACAAGCAAAATCAGTAAATAAGGAACACTTCTGTAACCTTCACAACCTCATCTCTATGACTTCCCAGCATTCTCTCTATCCAAGACCAAAGGCTTTATAACCTTGCATTCTCATAACTTTTTTGAATGTGAGGTACTAGCAGGAGTGGTGGCCAGATTGTGAATTTGATGATTAAGTAGCAGGCCTTTGCTCAACCTAATTTATCCAAAATACCAAATATATAAAACAAAAGAACCTCATGCTCAGTTCCAGATCCCCTCTGCTGAGATTAATAGGCCCACAAGTGGACACTTTCTTGATAATTAGTTCTGCAGAAAACAGGAGAGAAGCAAATTGATACTAATGAGATGTAGAAATCTATTTTGAACAAGGAGGCTGGTGTTCTCAGATTTTATGGCTTTTTTTTTTTTTTTTTTTGAGATGGAGTTTCACTCTTGTTGCTCAGGCTGGAATACAATGGCAAAATCTTGGCTCACTGCAACCTCTGCCTCCCAGCTTCAAGTGATTCTCCTGCCTCAGCCTCCCAAGTAGCTGGGATTATAGACGCCCGCCACCACGCCAAGCTAATTTTTGTATTTTTAGTAGAGACGGGGTTTCACCATATTGGCCAGGCTGGTCAATCCTCAGGTGATCCACCCACCTTGGCCTGGGATTACAGACATGAGCCCTTCATTTAGTTTACAGAATTTATTGATTTTCCCCCAGAATTTTGTAGTTCATGTTTTTCCAGGAATGATCAAAGTAAGTTTTTTTCTGGAGTCACAGAAATCTATAAGTCTAGGGACTAACAACTATAACTAGAAAACTTAGAAGGGAGTTTTGTCAATGTCATCTCATTTTCCTGAGTGTAAGAATCTTCTGTCCTACAAGCTTAGAGATGGTAACAGTGACCTGACTTGATATGTAACAGAATCCAATGCAGTTCCAATCCTGGTATCCATGTCCTTCAGTAGTTCCCTGAACTTATATAGGTAGGTAATTTCTAGTGTCAGGCAGAGATTAACTTTGACAGTTTTAGCTCATTTTGATCATCCAGTGTTAAAAATCATAATCCAGCAATGCCCATAACCTCATCAAAGACTATGATCTTTCTTCTTTCCTTTTTTTTTTTTTTTTAAAAAAAAAACAAACCTGATCTAGTAGAAGGACCTTTTCAAATCAAAGACCTCCTATACTAAATCTCTTATCCCAGAACTTCTTTTAACCTAAAAGCAGGGCAGGGGAAGACAAAGCTAAAGAGTTTGTATTTCCTCCAGAACTTGGCAAATCTGCAAAAAATCTCTTTCCCTTTCAAAGCTTCCCTCCCATTTTTGACCTCTATTTAGGAGGAGTGGGAATATGAAGAAGTGTAAAGGTGACAATTTTCTTTACCCACTTGTTAAAATATTTAAGTACTAGTTAACTAGCCGGCCAACATGGAACGGGTATAAAGACCCAATCTCTGCCTCGAAGACCTACCATCTAGCAGACGGAAAGGGACATGCTAACAAATAGGGGCACTAGGTTTTTAGACTGCTATGACATAAGATTTAACAAAGGACAGTGGGAGAACAAAAAGAAGGGGTTAAATTTAGCTGGTGGTGGAGTATGTCAGGAAAGACTTCTTCAGGTTGGCAATTTGGCCTGAATCTAGGAAAAAAGATGAACGGGGCCAGGTGGGAGTAAAAAAGGGGACCATAGACAGGAGGAGGTGTGTAAAGATGGACAGAAAGCATGGTATCATAGACACTACAAAAACGAGGAAGTGCCGAGACAGTGGACAAAAGCTTCAAATGACAAGATTAAATATGATAAAAGAGTTCCCTGGATTTGGGAAATGGGAAGTTATCCTTGAACTTTGCTAGAGCCATTTCAATGGAGTAGCAGGTCAGAAGTCTGGCTGCTATGAATTTAAAAGGATGAAAAGAATAAAGAAAAATATTTTAGAGTAAATGAAAGACAAAAAAAAAGGTGACAACAAGTTTAGACTGTTTCTTGGAGTCATTTGCCTTTTTACTTTCAAGCATACTAGTTCAGGTATGACAAGGGTTACTTACATAGGATTTACATTTCTATGAGAAAATGACTCCCAATTGCCATCTTAAAAACTTAAAAACAAGTTTTTAAACACAATCCATTCTTAATTTAAAGGTTGCCTATATTATTTCAAACAATACAGGCAGCCTTTTAAATATATGTTTAACAATTATTAAACATGTTAATTATCAAATATTAATTAAACATGTTAATATGTTTAATGTTTACATGTTATTTTAAATATAAAATCAACATTTCTACAGATTCACTCTGCCATCACTAACTTGTCTTTCATATCCTTCAAAATAAATAACACCTGTAATTGTTTATAGTAGAAAAGGTGCTTTATTTTACATATCATTGGTACACGATACATAAAACTGCCTAAAATCAGTCTTGGAAAACACAACAGTCAGTCAATTACACCTTAAAGGGTCAAAGACCAAGTCTATTTTGCAATCTACTTCATTTATGATCAAATGACTACAATAATTTTAAATACTAATAAGCTCTTCATATCCAATGTTACAAATGATTTTTATGTTACAAGGGCTGTAATTTTTTAAAATAAAAATATCTTTAGCTATAGACCTTATTTCTAATCAGAATGAATCTTTGCTAGTCTACAAGTCTTTGAAATAACAGATCAACAATTTCGCCTTCCTATAGATAATTGTATTTATGTAATTGGGTAATGAGGCAGGAGTCCTTCATACATGCAATCGGATTATTTCAATTTTTTAAAAAATGCAGATAAAATTGAGTTTATATATACCCTATGTCTAATTAAGTTGCCAAAGAAGTTTATTAAACTAAAATGAAGCCAATATGATATTTTAGAAAACATAATTCTGAGAGCATGCAACATCAAAAATACTTGTACTACTTCTGAGAGCCCGAGCTGCAGAACACAGAAGAGGACTGGCACAAAGGCTGTTACATCTGAATTGCTTACCCAGCTGGGAAGAGTAAAGAAAGTCATTTAACTCAGTGCAAACCCTATGAAAAATGTCTGCATGATACAGCCCTACTGCTACACAGAGGGATCTTCACTTAGAAAATGTGCAAATCATAAGAAGCTAAATGCACTCCTTTTGCTATTTACTCCAATTCATTCTATTCATCAGCACACAGCTCTAAGATCTCTTATTAACTACTAATGTCAAAGCCACAGAGATTTCTTAATGGCATTTTTTAGTCACCAATCCCTTATCACAGAGATAAATATGACTGGTGCTTAATGTACAAATGCCAAAAAAAAAAAAAAAGAATCTGGGCTAAGTATCAAGGCAAAAACATTTATCATTTTAACAAATCCCTCAGTATAGAAAGACTTCTCTTCCCTCTAAAAAATAAGTCATATGTTAGAACCACAGGTTCAGAATCACCTCCTGGTCCAGAAGAGTGGAGGCATTTAAGCAAAGTAAACTGAATCAAATACTAAACAGGTATAAATGTGCACACTCAAACAAATATTCTATCCTTTGCTTAAAATCAACTTATTCCTTGTCATTAGAAGTGCTTCAAGATGCACGTTGTTAATTAATGCAGAAAAGAAAGCGTTGAAAGCCAAACTTTTTCTATTAAAGCAATAGATCTTTAAAATAATTGGGCTTCAAACATATACTTTTAGTATAACTTTCCATTCATTTTCTTTTTATAATTAAGTATACACATATACACAACAAACCCTAATATTTAATATGTGCAAAATTGCTTATCATGTATTTTAACTTTGGTTAAGTATTTGTTTAGCCTATATCAGACACATTACAGAAGCTAGACAAATGATTACAAACATAATAATGAGGTAAGTTAAAATTCTACTAGTGCAAAAAGCAAGCATATGCCAAAAGCAAAGCATATGAATTAAACAAATGCAGAATGAAGCTCTCACCAAGGGCATTGCTGGGATAACAAACCAGAGAAGCTCCTTGTAAACATTGTAAAGTACACATTTAAAGAGTAAAGATTCATACAGCCACAAAAAAGGTATTCTAACAACACCATAGTAGTGCATTTATTTTATCTTTAGAGTTTGGAAACCACTTATTATGTGTCTAACAATTTGCATATTTTCTTCAAGAGAAACTTAATTAGTGAGACACATTAATTACAAATACTGTAGTATAAAAATCCCAGTTCTTTACAAAAATTATATATTAAAATATTCTATACACTTTAAATTAGTAACTGGAACACACATATATATCAATTCTGCACAATTAAATCCATCTTTGCTGGGGGGTATTATACATGAAATTTGAGGACATAGCTACTCAGTCAACCTAAACTGGCATAAGGTTATGTGGTATAAAAAAAGATAGACCTGTGCCCCTGCAGTTATTGAAGCTCTTAGTTTGAAATATCTTTTCTGCAATTATTGCTCTGTATATTAATTCCAGGTTTAAATAGACAGTGGAACCATGAAATTCCTAAAAAGTTTAAAACAAGTTACCTGTAGCAGAGTGTTTATAATACCTATCTGTATCTTTAAGGTTGTAATGGAACCTGAGTTAGCTGTCTAATGCTTATATTTTCATAGTAAAAAAGTTTATACAATTTCAAGGTAAAAACAATGCAAAAATAAAACATTTAGAGCATTTACAAAAATCTTACAAATGTTTAAAACACCATTTTAAAACTTGTGTCCTGTTAAGGTGCTTGTTTCTTTCTCCAGTAGGAGGACATATACTTTAATTTTTAATTCAATTATGAAGATTTTAATTTTAGCAAAAGCAAAATTAGAGCCATTAAGACAGATGAAAATGTTCAGGGATATATTTCACTTCTACTAAAAACACAAAACCTTAGTGCTGAAAGGGACCTAAAAGATAAACGGTTTTCACTCTCTCATCTGTTATGAGGAAAATGAGGGCCAGATAAGTTAAGTGCTTTGGCCAAAAATATATTCAAATATATTGGCCTGGTAAGAATCAAGAAAACTCATTGTTCTTATTGTATTTTACCATGATTCTTGGAAAATAATAAAAGTTCAAAAGCAGTTTCTAAACTTGCCTCTTTCTTTTTTAATTTCTTAAGCTCTGTGCTAACTGTAAACAAAGAAAGGAATCAAACAACTACTAGAATTATTATATTATCACACATATTATCCAATAGAAGACAGCTGTTAGAGGAACACTGCTCATATAGAATAAAGATAGAGGGAGTACTCAAAGATAGGACATTAACAAAGTAGAGAACATTTACTATATAAGACAGCATAGTATACAACAGCCAGTTACTAGAATTATCTCAATAACTCTAGGATGACTGGGTTACATAGCCCTTATAAAATATATTGGGGTAATAAAGCTTTCTAGCTTTTATCTTAATTTCACTGTTTTTCTTTATAAAAGAGCTATATCTGTAAGGAAGAACTCATATACTAATTTTCAGAGAGTCTTTGCTTCTTTTCTTTTATTTGGATCTATAATTCAGCAAATACATTTTAAGAACAATTTACAAACTTAAGTTCATAACTGCTGGAAATACAGTCAGAGAATACTCTTTTAAATGACAAATCTTCATAACCAGTTACTAATAAATAATCATAATCACAATAGCTTCAGTAAAAAAAAATTCAATTTAAAGGTGCTTTCTTATTGTTACCTTGAAGCCACCGAACTTGTGTAGCTGGTCCATATCCCTTTTCATTCTTTGCTGATATCCTGAACACAATGGCAGGCCTGGATGTATAATCAATATGTGCATTTGCAAGTTGCCCAGCAGTTACTGTACATGATGTCTTAAGACCACAATAAATCCTCATGAACACAAGTTGACTTGGATTATCTTGTATCTGTGCTGTGCGGATAGCCAAGTAGGCTGAATATTCCAAAATATTTCCAGAAGGTGAAGTTGGAGGTTCCCAGGAAAGGTGGATACCTTCAACATTCTTGAAGAGGGCGGGAAAAAAAACAGGTTAAAGGTTCTTAAGTTTCCTCTGTTATCACTCATTATGTTGAGTCTATCTTTAGAATACAAAATGCTCATTTTTGCTAAAATAATTGCATTAGATGTTAGATCTTTTTTTGTTGATTTTTAAAACCTACCTCATTTGAATCTACAATGTTTAATTCACGCTTGCTTTCCAAAAACAACTAAGTTTAAATGTCTACCTGTAATGTCCCAAAACGGGGATTTTTATTTCCTAAACAATCTCTAGGGAGGGATGGGACATTAGGATAAAATATAATTCAGTTTTGAGTCCTCTATTAAAATTCTCCAGCCAAATGTTTTCATTCCATAATAACAAGAACAAATTTAGAAGCATACCAGATTTCCCTGCCTTTCTGTGATTTGGATGCTGTAATTTTGCTTGAAATCACATGGACACGTAGAGGCAGACAACACACACTGGGGCCTTTCGGAGAGTGGAGGGTGGGAGGAGGGAGAGGATCAGGAAAAATAACTAATGGATACTAGGCTTAATACCTGGGTGATGAAATAATGTGCATAACAAACCCCCATGACACTCATTTACTTTTGGAACAAACCTGCACATATGCCCCTGAATTTAAAATAAAAGTTAAAAAAATATGAATGATTAGCTAAAATTATTTTTTAAACTTTTAATCCATTCTTTTAGGTATCTCTCATTTCATAAGATGGTAACAAGAATTTCTAAACTAGTTTACTTCACATATGAAATTTCAAATAATTTAAAATCAACAAGTCTTGACCCGATGTCTCACCTTTGAAATTCTGACTGCAGAAGGAGCTCCAGGAAAACCAGGAATACAAGTTTTAAATTCACTGATTTTGCTGAAAGGACCTATCCCACAACCATTGATTGCAGCAACCCTGAATCTGTATCCTGTGCCTGGAACAAGATCTTGTTTCTTAAGCAAGCTGTAGTCAGGTACATCTGCATTTCCTACCTAAAATGTAATATATGCAAAAGTTAAAGAAAAGGTACAATTAATATTATTAAAGTTTCAAAAATTAATTCAATTTTTGTTAAACAAAAAAACTTTTAAAACATAAATTATGTTTTAAGGTTCTGGTTCACATTTATCTCCCTCTCTCTCACATGGAATCAACCCTCCAATAGAGAAGCATACATCTGCTCCTTATCCAGAGGCGAGCACTCTTTCCAACTGAGAATCACTGATTATACAGATAAATGTAAGAGCATTCTTCATGTGAACAATGTGAAGGTAGAAAAAAAGCTGACAACCACTATAAACAAAGTATCAACTATCCCATCATCATGTAAACTTATCTTGAAGCAGAAATCTCAGAAGATATACTGTCAAATAATAGTCTGCCCAGGAACAATACCCTTTAGAGACAGGCAGGCAAGCTTGATAGAAAAGGAGGGACTAGCAGGTAGTACAGAGTGTTTTTTGTTTTTTTTTTGAGACGGAGTCTCGCTCTGTCTCCCAGGCTGGAGTGCAGCGGCACAATCTCAGCTCACTGCAACAGTCCGCTTCCCAGATTCAAGCGATTCTCCTGCCTCAGCCTCCCAAGTAGCTGAGATTACAAATGACTGCCACCACCCCCAGCTAATTTTTGTATTTTTTAGCAGAGACAGGGTTTTGCCATGCTGGCCAGGAATTCCTGACCAAAGGTGATCGACCCATCTGGAACTCCTGAGCAAAGGTGATCCACCCGTCTCAGCCTCCTAAAGTGCTGGGATTACAGGCATGAGCCACCACGCCCGGCCTATAGAGCATTTTTAAAAATTAAAATTCAGCAGACACCAAATAAATGTTAAATAATTAGATTATATACTCTAGGTAGGAAGATAATAACATTTACAACTTTCAAACAATTTTTACATATGCTCCCTAACTCTCCCAGTTAGACAGAGAGTGCCAATGTGCTCTCCTACTTTAAGGGAGCCATGTCATCTCTACTTTACAGATGAGGAAACTGAGTCTGGGAGAGATTAAACAAGTTGACTTGCCAAGCTCACACTGCTGAATGCTGGAACTAGTGATTCAACCCTAAGTTTACTAGCTCTAAATTTTAGGCTATTTTTTCTTTTAGGAAAAATCAGGTAGCTACTAGGCCCTTAGACACAGACACGTCTTTATATATGAAATCCAACTACAGTGAGAAATTTCACTGGGCATAATACTAATTATTAACTAGAATTTCTATTTTTGTCAAGAGTTAGAAAAATTCTATATGAAAAAGAGGGATATGAGGAGTAATAGTAGAGCAACTAAAATACATATAAATATATAGGATATATTCCCCATTTGTACGTATCTTCAGGAGATTCAAAATGAACATCTATTTCCTTGGCAATTCTCTCTCAGAAATTCTCCATTTAGTAATTTTTAAATTTTTATTTATTTATTTATTTATTTATTTTTTGGAGACAGCATCTCACTCTGTCATCCAGGCTGGAGTGCAGTGGCCTGAACATGGCTCACTGCAGCCTTGACCTCCTGGTTCAAGTGATCCTCCCACCTCAGCCTCCCAAGTAGTTGGGAGCAGAAGCGTGTACCTTGCCCAGCAAATTTCTTTATTTTTTGTAAGACAGGATCTTGCCATGTTGCCCAGGCTGGCCTGGAACTCCTGGGCTCAAGCTCCTCTCACCTTAGCCTTCCAAAGTACTGGGATTACAGGCATGAGTCACTGCACCTGGCCTTTATAAATTTTTTCAATGTGCTTTGGAGCTGTTATCTATGTAATAATTCTTAGAAGGTTAAATGTCTAATTTACATATATATCAAATATCTCATATATGTATATGAGGTCCTCTTTAAGGGGTTTCAGCATCAAGGGAATATTAGATTGTATTTAATAGCGTATCAGGGCTTTTAGATTTTTTTTAATTGTAAAATCAGAAATAAAAAATTTTTTTTCAATAGAAAAAAAAGTTCCATTCTCTAGACACACTGGTTAACAAAATTAGAGATATTTCAAAAAACTCTTATCTGTGCTAGTCAGACTAAATTATTTATGACTCAAAACCCAGCTCATTGGCTGGGTGTGGTGGCTCATGGCTGTAATCCCAGCACTTTTGGAGGCTGGGGCGGAAGGATCACTTGAGCCCAGGAGTTGGAGACCAACCTGGGCAACATGGTGAAACCCAGTCTCTACAAAAATTAGCTGGTAATGGTGGCTTGTCCCTGTAGTCCTAGATACTCAGGAAGCCAAGGTGTGAGGATAACTTAAGCCCAGGAGATTGAGACTGCAGTGAGCTCTGATCGCACCACTGCACTCCAGCTTGGGTGACAGAGCAAGACCCTGTCTCAAACAAACAAACAACAAACAAAAAACTCTCCACCTCAGTGATTGTATAAGTTTTTTTTTTTTTAAAATTTAGAGATAGGTATTGCTATGTTGCCCAGGTTGGAATGTAGTGGCTATTCACAGGTGCAATCACACTGCACTGCAGCCTCAAACTCCTGGGCTCAAGCAATCCTCCTGACTCAGCCTCCTGAGTAGCTGGGACTGCAGGCATGCTCCACCACACCTGGTTCAAAGATTTTTTAAATGACATGCTTGTGATGTAGTCCATACAAAGGGCCTTAACAAAGAATACAGTGTAACTTGGTGATATGATTTGGATCTGTTTTCCTACCAAATCTCATGTAGAATTGTAATCCCTAGTGTTGGAGGTAGGACCTGATGGGAGGTGATTGGATCGTAGGGGCAGAGTTCTCATGAATGGTTTAGCACCATCCCCCCTTAGTATTGTATAGTGAGTTCTCATGAGATCTGGTTGTTTAAAAGTGTGTGGCACCTCCCCACCCCACGCATTGCCCCTGTTCCTGCCATGTAAGACATGCCTGCTTTTCCTTCATCTTCTGCCATGATTGGAAGTTTTCTGAGGCCTCTCCAGAAGCTGAGCAGATGCCAGCATCATGCTTCCTGTATAGCCTGTGGAACCTTGAGCCATTTAAACCTCTTTATAAATTATACAGTCTCAGGTATTTCTTTTCTTTTTTTTTTTTTTGAGACGGAGTCTTGCACTGTCATCCAGGCTGGAGTGCAGTGGCGCCATCTTGGCTCACTGCAAGCTCCACCTCCCGGGTTCATGCCATTCTCCTGCCTCAGCCTCCTGAGTAGCTTGGACTACAGGTGTTTGCCACCACACCCGGCTAATTTTTTGTACTTTTAGTAGAGATAGGGTTTCACCGTGTTAGCCAGAATGGTCTCGATCTCCTGACCTTGTGATCCGCCCACCCTGGCCTCCCAAAGTGCTGGGATTACAGGCGTGAGCCACTGCACCTGGCCAGTCTCAGGTATTTCTTTATAGCAATGCGAGAATGGCCTAATACATTTGGTATACAGAATTCACAATTATACAGATTGTGGATGGATCCCAATTTTACTCATTCAAGTGACCTGAATCAGGGTTCTAAAAAAGAAATCTCATTCTTAATTATTTTTTTCTTTCCCTTTCTTAGTTATTGGTAAAGAAAAATCTCATCCTTGAGGCTTATAATTTACAATGTAGAAAATACATCAATAACTACCTTTGAGATGCTTTGCTTCCCTTTTGGCAGCAAATAAAACTGGCTCACCAAAGCTGTATTATTTTTAAAAATTCCCACATCGCACCATTGTCGTTCTCCTGCTTTCATTGTGGCCACTGGATTTGAAGGAGTCTCTTTCTAATTTCAGAGAAAAAAAATTTATGAAGACTCTTATTGAATATATGAAAAATTTCAAGATTTAATAAGTCCATGCAGTGATCTACAAGTAGGTATTTGGATAAACACCACAACATTAACAACTCATATGTAAATAAAGTCTTAACAGATTAGGTCAACTGACAGTGAAACAGGGATGCCAATTCAAACACAGGAGTGACAGGCATTCTCCAAGTCAGTAGCTCTGTACTATCAACCTAGCTGGAGTTAGCATGCTTTCCAATCAGTGATATGTTAAAATGCCAGCTATTTTATAGAACATTGTCATTTCAGAGACTCTCTCAGAAAATGTAATTCCTTTAGCGTTAACATTACAACTTGCTCCAAAAGGAGCAAATAAAGAAAAATTCATTCCAAGCTGGCTCATTTCTAGATCCAAAAACAACTAGCAAAAATTCAGTGATCTTTGCACTTAAAATACCTGTGATTCTCCAAACCTAAAAGGAGAAAAAATGTTCAAAACTAAAATGCAATTTGAATATACTTTAGTATATACTAAAGAGGAGTAGATTAAACAGTTTTACATTTTTTATCCTGTTTTAAAACAAATAAACTTCCTCTACCTTAAGCTACTTTTAGTGGTAAGTGAATTATACTTATCCCTGGAACTAACCTTTTAAAGCCATCTTCTTATAAATGAGACACTGTTTCCAGAAGCTCAAAACAAATGTGCACTTCAGTTATTTATTTCTGTCTTAAATATATAACAGCAGAGGTACATGCTTATAATTCACATTTTTTTAATATTTAGGCTATCACACATGACAAAGTGAGCTAACTAGAAGAGTCTTTAAAGTTAAAAAAAGAGTAATAGCTTTAAACTTGTTGTAAAAACTCTTTTCAACAACTTTTATAAAACAACTGGCTCCAACTCAAATAACAAATACAATTCTGGCTGATGCATGGCAAAATAGACTCAAGAGAAAAAAAATTCATTTTAGTAATCCTTCCCTGAGATAAGTCTAAAAACACCAGGACTTAACATTCTGGAAAGATGAAAGCTGATAAAGGTAAATATATGGTCAAAATCCATAAAGTCACGATTGAAAGAAAACAAAAACTAAAGAGAATTCTTAAAGATTCTAAAAGTTAAATTTAGGTCAAATGAAAACTCTTGCTCACAGAAATTAAGTTGAAATGACTAATAACAAAAAAAAAACCCTCAAAAGTATATATATGTATGTTTTATCCTTATATTTATCTAAGTAAGACAATCTTGGTATATTTGTAAGGCACTTTCCTGGCATTTTAAGTTTGGTGCCATGTATACCAAATTTGGCCTATGTAAAACAACCAAATATCAGAGATTATTGGGCTACCCTACATTTATGTCAATCCACTATTGCAATATTCTGTTGTGCTCCTATTAAGTAGCTAGCAATACAGCCATTCAAGTTTTATGTTCCATAACACATCCTATCTTTTAACCATTAATGTAATTTACACATATATACACATATATGTATGTATATATACATACACACATTTCTGATTATAAAAATAACATTTCATTATAGAAAAATATAAAAAGCATAAAGAAGAAAGTAAAAAGTATCTGTGGCCCCCCACCTGGATTTTAGAGTGGTTATGTGTGGGTACATGTGAGAGTATAAATGTATGAATTGCATGTATTTTTTAACAAAATTGAGAACACAACACGTTATTTTTTATCCAGCTTTTTCACTAAACGTTATACTGTGAACATTTTCCTATTCAATCATTTATTTCTAAATGTATGTCAATTCGTTACTGAGACCTGAGAATCTTTTTATGAAATTATTTAGAAGTTGCTCAGCATTTAAAAGTACATAATCATGTGTAAACATGCATCATCACCAGGTCATGTACTTACAGAAAACGGCATTGCTGTAGCATGTGTCTCTACACGGCTGATCTTTGTTGCAGGCAGTGCATATGTTTCATCAACTAAAAATTAAACAATTTATCAGATAAGATTTACATAACTTACCAGATACATTAAAATATAATTTTTAAATATATATTTAATGCCACTAACTATAAACTTAAAAATGGCTAAGACAGCAAATTTTATGTTATGTGTATTTTATCATAATAAAAAAACAGCCAGAGGGTATTGTACTATTATTGACAATAAGTAGTAATATTGACCCTTTAACTCAAAACAATTCATAAACTTCATTTTTTAAGGGTTTGATGACTAGCTAGAACTTCAGAGAATGTTTACTAAAGATGCAATACAATTCCTATTCCAAAAGAATAAGAATTTATCAAATTAGAAATCAAGCAAGTTGGAAGAATTGTTAATACACAGTCTAGAACCAATCTTGTCTAAAAAGCAGTTTGCTAAATTTATTCACAGTAGGAAAGACACATTCTGATTGTATTTCAGTGATGTGTGCTAATCTAAATATTTTATGCAGAGAATATTTTATAAAATAATTTTAACTGAAATGCTTTATCTGTTTACATTACATTCTGGAAAGATGAAAGTTGATAAAGGTAAATATATGGTCAAAATCCATAAAGTCATGATTGAAAGAAAACAAAAACTAAAGAGAATTCTTAAAGATTCTAAAAGTTAAATTTAGGTCAAATGAAAACTCTTGCTCACAGAAATTAAGTTGAAATGACTAATAACAAAATTCCAAGATGAAATGCAATTCCCATCTAAGACAAGTAAGTTTGATGAATTTACATACATAAATGGTTCAAAATACAGTATGTGAAACACATTTCAAACCTTCAGATTTGGTACTGAATGTTGTTAGTGAAGTTTCATCTTTAACAACTGCCCCATTTGTACTGGATGATTCAGTTTTAATGGTCTGCTGGGTTACCATAGTTTGTGTGCTGGAAACAGTACTGGATACAGAAGTTTCAGGAATTACTGTTCTTACATCCAGGCAACTACTTAGAACACCTACATTTGCTGAAGTGTGAGGACCTAAAATAAAAGGGAAAAGGTAATTATTAATATAACATCTGCAGATAATTGTTATGTCTTATAGTTCTTGTCATATGATTCTTGGTACTTTCAGTTTTAAAATCATACATGAGCACCACAAATGGTATTAGTATGAATTAACCATTAGGCATAAAATGTTTAGAAAAATAAAGTGCATTATATCCATAATGGATATCCAACTTTTTACCTTCCTCGTTCATTCTAAACACTGAGCCATTGTTCTTGACTTTTCACTAAATCATAGATCAAATGGCTCTGCCCTTCATTTCAGGAAAAAAATATTAGAGGTCATTAGGCATGAATTATCTCATTTTTTTGCCTTCTCTGGCTGCAAACTGGAATTGTACTAATAATTGTACTCATCCTCCCTATCTTCCATTGCAGAAGATTTGCTGACCTCTCTCCTAAAAAATCTGAATATATCTTCCTGTATTCTTGGTCCCATTCCTTCCCCTATATGTTGGGACCCTCATCAATCATTCCTCTCTCTTCAGGGTTTTCAGATTCTTTGTCAGTAGTTTTTGGTCCTTGTCCCATAAACATCATCAAGTTCCTGAAGCAAACGACACACCTCTTCATTTACCCAACAATTCCCACCAATTACCCTCTCCCTTTACTAATTCCCTTTAGAGCAGTTTATACTTCCTTGATCTCCCCAAAATTTGATTTCTAGCACACTACTCTAATAAAATAATTCTGGCAAACATCAATGATTTCTAGGGGGTATTTTTCAATTTTCATTTACTTGACTTTTCTGCACTGTAAACAATGCTGACCACATACTCCTTTTTGAAGCTGGTTTTTTTTTTTCCCCTAGGACGTATATTCATTCATTCCACAACAGTGAAGTCTACCATGTATGAGATATTGTATTTGTTTTTATAATGGTGAAATAAGGCAGACATAGATCATGCCTCACAAACTTAAGCCTTCTTCTTGTCGCCCTTACATATTTTTCTGTGCGTTAAATACCATTCCCAAATCCATACATATCTCCCGGGCACTGCACCAGGTGCTAGGAATCTAGCAGTGAACAAGTCAACAAGATCCTTGCTCTTTTGGAGATTACATTTAAATACTCTTAATTTCTAAATTTATGTTTCTAGCCTACTACTGCCTTCTAGACTCCAGGCCTAAGTATCCAACTGCCCATCAGAAATCTTTACCAGTATATTCCCGAAGTGCCTCAAAAACAGAGTTCCAAGTTGAACCTCTCTTTTCCAAAATCCGTTCTTGCTCCTATATTTCCTATTTTGATGAAGACTATCATTACCTACTCTCATATCCAACCCAAAAAACTGGGAGTCATATTCAACTCATTTTTATTTCTCATATACAGCCAGCTATCAAGTCTAATAGATGAAACCTTCTAAAAGTCTCTTAAATGATGAATTCTCTCCTCTCCATTTCAGCCACTGCTTTAGTCTCTATGTATCTCCTGGAGTCAGCCACTGCTTTAGTCTCTATGCATCTCCTGGAGTCCTAAAAGAATCCCTAACAAGTCTCCTAATCATTTTCTACTATAGTTCTTCCTGATGGAGAGGCTATTCTTTAAAAAAAAAAATTTGCCTCATTTAAATTCCATAGTTCATAATCAATCATTACTATTGGTAAGTGCTTACTTAGTATTTTAACATCATTCTAACCAGGTTGAATATGGCAGTTTTTTGCTATTAGGAAAATGGATCAAAACTGTACAACATTTACTTTTTCAATGACTATTAAATTCCCTACCAATTTTATAAAAAGCTTTAGTTTAAAATGTCATCCATTTACCTTCATTTTTCCTTAGCATATCCACCACATGACTATTATGATTAGAAGCATTCGATGCCAAAGATGGATATAAAATGGCATTAGAATCCGTCAGTGCTTTAAAGTCTGGTTTGTTTTTCATTGAAGTTTCTTTTGTGGCTGGCTGTTCAGTTTTTGTGCTGTTTATTGTATCATTGATCTACAAGAAATACAACAGATTACTGTAGTAAGCAATATTCAATGAAATAAAAATACATGTAAAAAACAAGCAAAATAATTTACAATTTAAATACTTTTTATCAGAATATAAAACACCTAAAAATTACATTATTAATTTATACAGGATTTTTATTCAATTTTATAATAGTTTCTAAGAAAACAATTTCTTTTCACTTAATCTCCACGCTCAAAAGATCCGTTTTGAAGAGGAAAGGGAGAGTATATTTTGAGGAAAAAAAATCTACATTTTAATAAGTGGTAGCTAGTATCACAAGCAAATACATACATAACACAGGAGAGAACAAAGCTACTGGGTCTGGTCAAATTTTCTTAAAGGGCAGACATGTATCCTAAAAATATGGTAACTCCAAAAGTAAAATCTCAGCTATATGGAATCTTCAAGCAAATAAACTATTCTATATGACTGAGTTTTCCATATAAAGATTTCATACATATACATATAATTATCCTATAGCATGAGGTATTTTGGATAAGAATTTCCCTAATTACATTTTTCTTAACCTTCTTAAACACACTATAATAAATACATTCAAACTTTTAAAAAAAATTATTACTATTATTATTATTATTTTTGAGATGGAGTTCTGCTCTTGTGGCCCAGGCTGGAGTACAATGGTACGATCTCAGCTCACTGCAACCTCCACCTCCCAGGTTCAAGTGATTCTCCTGCCTCAGCCTCCCGAGTAGCTGAGATTATAGGCACCCACCACCATGCCTGGCTAATTTTTTGTATTTTTAGTAGAGACGGGGTTTCATCATATTGGCAAAGGCTGGTCTTGAACTTCTGACCTCAGGAGGTCCACCCACCTCAGCCTCCCAAAGTGCTGGGATTACAGGAGTGAGCTACCGTACCTGGCCTAAAAAATTATTTTTATTTTTTATTTTTTTGAGACAGGATCTTGCTCTGTTGACCAGGCTGGACTGCACTGGCACGACCACAGTTCACGGCAGCCACCACCTGCCAAGCAATCCTCCTGCCTCAGTCTCCCAAGTAGCTGGGGCTACAGGCACACACCAGCATACCCAGCTAATTTTTCTATATTTTGTAGAGATGGGGTTTTGCCATGTTGTCAAGGCTGTTCTTGAACTCCTGAGCTGAAGGATCTACCACCTTGGCCTCCCAAAATGTTGGGATTACAGGTGTGAGCCATAGAACTCAGCTGCTACGTTTACAATGTTTTGATAATTCAAGTCATCAATGTGTATATCAGTTATTATACCTACAGGTCTACCTAACCATAAAAGTGACCTGGCTTCATTCAAATACCCTAATGTTGTTCTTTCTAATTACCTGTTTTTTGTTACTTTTCTGTCTCTATTTTTATTGTCAGCTCATAATTTCTCATGGCTCTGAGGATACTTGTCTATAATATGCCCTGTGCTTGCCCTTAATTGGTGGTACTACTGTTTATAAGTGATGATGATGATGATAGCCACAACTATGCCAGGCATTATGGCAGACAATGTACTATATATATCCATACACTCTGGATCTTACTTAATCTTCACAAGAATCCTATTAGTAAGATAACTTGACCCCTATTATAGATGAAGAAAATGATACAGAACTTAAGTTACAAACCTATAGTCAGGTAGCCAGTAAGTAACAGCTAGAATTTGAATTTGGTTTATTCCATTTCAAAATTCTTACATCTGGAATGTGCTTTTTGCTTAAAATCAGACACTCAGTCTAACTGAAATTTTATAAAATAAGTATAAATAAATCCTGAGAATTTTCATTAAACATGATAGATTAAACACATTTGCTTCAGGAGATTTCTCCAAAACCCAATTCAAATGACAAAAAAGGAATTTTTTAAAGTATGAAGCTATAACCTTTTAAGAAAAAAAGAGAATGGCAGAAGAGAGAATAGTAGATAAGATGTAAAACAGAACAGCTGGAGCTAAGAGCCTTCTCCTAAGTGAAAAGTCACTAAGATGTGGCCTGTTTGTGCCCCAGGGCCCAGGGCAGTCAGTGGTGGCAAAGGTGCAGAGTACAAGAAAACGCTGGAAGCTTGTCACACAGAAGTCTGTTTAAGAAGTGTTGTAGCCCTAGTTCTGCTCTCCCAGAATACCAAGGCAGAGAAATTCCTCTCCTTCATTCTAGCTGAAGATGGAAAATAGGTAGAAAGGTTGAAATGTGAGTCTCTAGACTACGCTACAGTATCCCACAAATGATACAAGTATGAGGATGATACAAGTATGCGGAGAGGCGCCATACTGAAAATTGGAATTAAATGAAAGTCTAAATGCTGAACAGAAATATACCTTCCCTCCAATCCCCTTACTAAGCTCCCAGATTCTGACAGCCAGGCTCATAACCCTTAAGCAAGAGGTTGGAGAATTCTTAGGGGAAACTAACTGGTCTAAGAAAAAAGACCCACAGATATTGACATTTGTAGGTCCCCGCCCACTTACTCTTGTTGAGGTTTACTAAGCAACAAGCCACATCCACATGCATAGGCCTTCCAGGTTTTCTTAAAGCCTCACTTTAAACATAAAGGGACAGCCAAGCATCAGCAGACACTTGATGACAACCTCTAATGTAGAAGTCCAAGATTAAAACACATGAAAAAATAAAAAGGAGCTTGAAAAAAAGAAACATAACAAAGAGCAGACTAAAACTCCAAAATGTTTTAAAGTATAATTCTTCAGGAGAGAAGGAAAGATATTATATTTATGAAACAAGAATAGGGTACTATAACAGAAATAAAGAAAATGAGGCTTTTAGAAATTAAAAATGTGGTTGGATATATTTAAAATGTAAACATTGGAATAGACAGAGAAAACAGAAGATAAAAAGCAAAATCAGAGGACTAGTTTATTAAAAAAAAAAAAGAAAAGAAATTGAGGGAAGAAATCATCAGTAATGAAGGTCATGAGTTTCCAGAACAATGGGGTCCACTGGGTGAGGCACACCAAATGAAGACATACACTCTAAGGCACATCACTGTTGAAATTTCAGAATACTGGGGATAAAAAGATAAAAAATTAGTCATATATAAAGGATCAGGAATCCAAATGGCATCACACTTTTCAATAGCAACACTGAATGCTAAAAGACGCTACAAAAATTCCTACAAATTTTTGAGGGAAAAACTTCCGATATAGGATTCTATAAGCCAGCCAAACTATCAGTTAAATACGCTAAAGATATTTTCAGATATGCAAGATCTCAAAAAGTTTACCTTTCATAAGCCCACTTCTCAGGGGGTTGCAACAAAATAAAGGAAAACACAAAGAAAGAGGAAGAAATAAGGTCAAGAAATATGGGCTGTAACACAGGAAAGAGATAAATTCCTATTATGAAACAGAGAAGGTAGTTCTAAGGTGAGAGCTGTGCAGCAGGCCTAGAGAAGAACCAGTACCTGAGGACAGGGGGCTCCAGGAGGAATTGTTCCAAGGGTGGAAAAAAGAAACTACCTTTATGTCCAAATATCTTAAGTTTTATAACTTTTTGGAAAATTTGATTATGAATTAATGATAGAGAAGAAGAAAACTAAGCAAGTGAAAAAGTGAGGCAGTTAATGCCAGGAAAAACAAATTTGCATGAAAAAGGAGTAATTCTCATAGCACACTACATGGCTCACCTGCAACTGTTTCACCATCATAGTGTAAACATCAAGCCATAATTCTACTAAAAATATGTGAAGGATGTGGGAACAGGAAAGGAGGGGATGAGGCAGAATTGTAAGAGATCATTAAAATTGTCATCTTTCATTACTGACGACAATTGATCTAAAAGTAGAACCTTCAACAACATGAGTTTGAACTGTGAGGGTCCATTTCTATGTGGATTATTATTTATTTATTTGTTTTTTGAGACAGGATCTTGCTCTGTCACCCAGGCTGGAGTGCAGTGGCGCAACCTCGGTTCACTGCAAGCTCCGCCTCCTGGGTTCACGCCATTCTCCTGCCTCAGTCCCCCAAGTAGCTGGGACTAGAGGTGCCCGCCACCGTGCCTGGCTAATTTTTTGTATTTTTTTTTAGTAAAGACGGGGTTTCACCATGTTAGTCAGGATGGTCTCAATCTCCTGACCTCGTGATCTGCCCACCTCGGCCTCCCAAAGTGCTGGGATTACAGGTGTGAGCCACCGCGCCTGGCCGTGGATTATTTTTAAGAAATACAATTGGTGCTCCATATCTGTGGGTTCCACGTCCTCAACCAAACACGTATGGAAAATACAGTATTCGCAGGATGCAAAAACTGTGGATACAGAGGGCCGAATTTTTGCATTTGCACGTTCCACAGGGCCAACTACAAGACTTGAATATCGAGGGGACTGTGGGGGGGTGGGTCCTGAAACCAATGCCCTGCAGATACAGGACAACTGCACATAGTTAGATACTAAAAGAAAGCTACAATAGTTTAAAGTAGTTGCTTCTAGGGAACAGAAATCAAGAGCAGGTAGGTACAGGGTAGGAAACTACTGCTCTTCATCATAAACTTTACAGTATCATCTAAATTTGTGACACACACACACATATATATACACATACATAGTATATAATCAACATATAACATATGACTACATATAACAGAAATATTATGTCTAATATGACAGGCTACTTACAAACTGTATGAGCTTTACTTGTAATAACACCTTCCTGACATACTATAAGTATGACATGATATACTTCCGGACCTATGCCTTTACTGGTCTTCAGTCATACTCAGAACATATTAGTCAATACCTACATCATTTTCTTTGAAAAAAGTCTACTGAGGTAGATGGCAGTTTACCAAATAAAAATAATCTTAGTAAGCATATTCATTACTCTCTACCAAGACCTACTGTGATGTACTTCATAAACAAGAAATAACCTCACAAGTGTTCAATTTAGTAACTGATATTTTTCAGTAAACAAAATACATAGTAAAGAAAATATTTTATACATATTTTTAAAGTACATCTTTAGATGTCTATGTGACATTTAGAAATGGCAAAATATAGACACGTAAGTACATATTACATTGAATTAGTCTGATGCTCTGTGTAATGCAGCTACGCTTCTCTTGGCCTGGGGTTTTCAATTCAGGCTTCAGTCAGAGTGATCTGTGAAGCTTTCTTTAAAAACAGAGCTGCCTGGGCATTTTCCTAAAGATTCTGCTTCACTAGATTTGAGGAAGAGCTTGGGAATCTGTGTGTGTTTGTTTGTTTGCTTGTTTAGCTCAGAGTTAACTCTCAAGTGCAGGCAGGATTAAGGACCCCTCTTCTAGAGTAGTAGTATGCTAAAAATCTGAATAAAAATTGAAACTATAACCATAAACATAAACATCCAATTTCCTTCATACACTTTTTTACTTACACTGTTAGGAACGATGTTATTACTGCCTTGTCTGTGAGGGTCCATCCTGACTCCTATAGGAATGAGAAAGGTTCAGACTGATATGCTCTTAATTAGCTTCAATAAAATATAATTAAATATTTTTAAAGTTACATATTAAAGTTTAAAAAGTAGTATCTTTACCAAAGGTTATATGTTTTCTTAATAGTTTGCTTAAGTTGACTGAAATTCTCTCTGGAAAAATGTGCAAAATTTGTGTTTGCTTTTACTTCCAAGGCCTATTTAGTTAAAAATACTTTTGAAAAAGCTGAGATATTTATGAAAGCAAATTAAAGCCAATCTGCTGAAGTCAAGTAATATGTCAAATTAGGAAAGTACATAAAAATGAACTGCAGAAAACACAATCTATCCTACGTTTCTATGTATTCTACTACATCATAATGGTAAGACAGCCAAGTTTCAGAACTGAAATACAATGTATTATCAGGCATGGACCTAATGCCATAAAATTTTATTAAACCAAACCTAATCACAGACTTTTATGCAGATATTCTACATATATATATATATATATATGTATACACCCAAACACCCCCCCCCGACACACACACATATATGTACTGCAGTATATGTGTGCGTGCATGTGTGTGTGTGTGTATTTTTTTTTTTTTTTAAGACAGAGTCTCGCCTGTTGCCCAGGCTGGAGTGCAGTGGCATGATCTCAGCTCACCGCAACCTTCACCTCCTGGGTTCAAGTGATTCTTTTGCTTCAGCCTCCTGAGTAGCTGGGATTACAGGTATGTACCACCATACCCAGCTAATTTTTGTATTTTTAGTAGAGATGGGGTTTTACCATGTTTACCAGACTGGTCTAAAACTCCTGACCTCAGGTGATCCACCTGCCTCAGCCTCCCAAAATGCTGGGATTACAGGCGTGAGCTACCATGCCTCGCCTGCAGTATATATTTTTAAAAGCATGTGAGCACACATACTTTAAGCATGAAAATTATGTTACCTTGCATATTTGGTGCTGCTGAAGAATCTGATGATGCAGCTTGGTATGGCAAGTCCGTACTCAACTGCAAAAGATAGCCCTCAACTGTAGACACTTCATCCCACTTGACATGAAAGGAGTTGGTGGTGGCTTTGATCAGCTGTACTTGAGATGGTGCTGGTGGTTTCTCTATAGAATAATAAAGATATTATACATTTAAGTTTCCAGTGTATAAATGGTTTGCTGATACAGTTTGTTTGGACTGGAGCTTTGAAAACATCAGCAATGAACATCTGCTTACCAAGACAGGGAAAGTTTACTCAGATAAACGCAGCTATAGTAGGTCAAATAAAAATAGTTTGGGGTTCTTATTCTGTTTATTTATTTATTTTCTTGGACAAATATATCTATAAACAAAACAATCCAGTACAAAACTACCGAACTATTTGAGTCATCAGATTCGGAAATGTGTTTAATCCTAGAAGGGTTTTTTCTGGGGGAAGCTGGGAATCCTAGAAGGAGTTTTTTTTGAGGGAGGCTGGGGAGAGGCAAGGGGAGCCAAGTATTAAAGCTACATTATTTTATCTTTCTTAGAAGTTCTAATATTCTTTAATTTTATGAGCCAATTTTCAGCCAACAGCATACGTGTTAGCAATTCTGTTAATGTTAGCAAAGATAACTTGGACATGATATTTTATAAAAGCATAACTTCTCTGAAATTAACACCCCCTTATCAAGACTTGTACTACCAGCTGGACATGGTGGTTCACGCCTGTAATCCCAGCACTTTGGGAGGCCGAGGTGGGCGGATCACCTGAGATCAGGAGTTCAAGACCAGCCTGGCCAACATGGGGAAACCCTGTCTCTACTAAAAATACAAAAATTAGCCGGGCGTGGTGGCTGGCACCTGTAATCCCAGCTACTTGGAAGGCTGAGGCAGGAGAATCACTTGAACCTGGGAGGTGGAGGTTGCAGTGAGCCAAGATCATATCACTGCACTCCAGCTCGGGTGGCAGAGTGAGACTCCATCTCAAAAAAAAAAAAAAAAAAAGGAATGGTGGGAGGAAGAGATAAATCCTCAACTTTCATAGCAGAAAGTGAGCACATTATTGTCTAAATGAAAAAAAATATATATATATCAAAGTAATAATATATGTATGTGATATAGAGATATGGAAGTTAATACCTAAAGAATCATTTAACAGAGTTAAGAACAAACAAATGCTTGTAAAGCAAGTAAAATGAGGAAAGGTGCGAGCAAAGAACTGTGATTTTTCATAGAAAGCCTCATGGAATTTTATTACTCTTTTACATGCTATCAAATGTACAAAGTTTAACTAAAAGTGAAAAACAAAACAAAACAAAACAAGATGAGCCCCCTTTTCCACCAAAACTGATGCTAACTTATCAAGAGGAAAAGCAAAATCTATATTTTGCCCTTATGATCGTGGCCATGATTACTTTTAGAATAATACTGATATCTAAAGCTTATTATGAAAAGGTTTATAGAAAAACAGGCCATTCAAATCCAATTTTTAAAATCTTTTTAAGTCATAGATCCCTTAGAGAATCTGCTCAAAGTGATATAATCCCTACAGAGAAAATTCAGTCATACACTTTTTTTCATCCAATTTCAGAGACTGAAGCTTATCCTTAGACTTCAGTTAATAATTTCCAATTTCCAACATGAACCAGTAAGTTCAATTTTCTATCTTTTTTTCTTGCTTGCTAGTACATGCTTCTTTCATAGGCAGCATTTACTCTCTTAATTGTTTCATTATTTTTTCAACTATCTTAATTTTAAAATTAAACTCTTTTTACATTACAAAAACAATACATGCTACTGTGGAAAATACAGACAAGTAATGACAGAAAAGCTTTGAAGAAAATGTATAATCTCAGCTCTCAGATAATGCTTTGGTGTGTGTCCTTCCAAGTTTTCTATTTATAATTTTGAAAATACTGGAGTCATTACATGTTTTATAATCTATTTTTCTCATGTAACATCACATATTACATCTCCAGATCTAATTTCTCTAATGGCCACTAGATTCATCTATTCATTCAAATGCCTGCTTGATCTTATTTCAAATTTAGCATGGTCTAAATGGAACTCTTGACTTTCTCCACAATGTTATTTTCTCTCAGTCTTCTCTATCTCAGTAAAATTCAAGCTAAAAACTTCATCCTCCATTCTGTCGCTTGCCACACAAATTATCATCCGGTTCTGTCAATAAGAACTCCAAAATGTATCCTGAATTTATGCAGTCCTCCCCTCCTCCATTGTCACCAACTATAGTCTAAAACACTTTTTTGACTACTGCAAGATATTTCTAACTTGTCTTGCAGTGTGCACCTAGAATTCATTTTCCATACAACTGCCAGTGACCATTTCAAAATGTACATCAGAATGTGTCACATTTCTCCTTCAAACTTACACATAACTTCCTGCTGCACTTCAAAAATAACTTAGAAATTCTACCACCACATTCAAGGCCCTATGTCCTGTGGTCATCTCTCTAACCTCCATTCCTACACTTTCTTCTTTGTTTACCCAGTTCAAATCTGTTGCCAAACATGCCAAGTATTCCCATCTCAGACTCCTTGTATGTGCTGTTCCCTCTTCCTGCAGTGGTTTCTCTGGCCTTTTTATGTGGGTATCTCCTTCTCACCATTCGAATAACATCCCACGTCATCTCATAACAGAAGCATTTTTTGACTACCCACCCTGAAGCAGCCACCACTCCTGTGCCCAATACCTAACACCACTATCTCATGTATTCACATGATTAACAGAAACTGAACTTATTTTGTTAATCTGTTTCACTATTGCTCATTATCTCCTTGCTGTCATACCCCCTCAGAATGTAAGTTCTTTGTGAGAGCAGGGGCACTACCAGTCTTGTTTGCTGCTATATTCTCAGCATTTAGAACAATTCCTGCTACACAGCTGTCAATCAATATTTATTAAAAATTGATGTGAGGTACACATTTTTAAAAATTGTGGCGCTCTAATAATTTTTTTCCCCCTTTAGAGATGGGGTCTTGCTCTGACACCCAGGCTGGAGTGCAGTGGAGCAATCAGAGCTCACTGCAGGTAGACTCAGACTCCTGGGCTCAAGTGATCCTCTTGCCTCAGCCTCCCAAGAAGCTGGAACTATAGGCATGAGCCACTGTACCTGGCTAATTTTTTGTTTGATAGAGATGGGGGTCTCACTATGTTGCCCAGGCTTGTCTTGAACTCATGGCCCCAAGTAATCCTCCTGCCTCAGCTTCCCAAAGTGCTAGGATTACAGGTGTGAGCCACTGCACCCAGTCTCTATTTTTTAAAAATCTTTTATTTTAAAATAATTTTAGGTTTGCAAAAAAGTTGCAAAGATAGTACAGCATTGCCATAACCCCCTGGCCCCAGTTTTCCCTTTTCTCCAGCTTCCCCTAATATAAGCACGTTTGTTAAAACTAAGAAATTATTGGTGTAATACTATTAACTCAACTATAGACAACTCAGATTTCACCAGTTTTTCAATTAATGTCTTTTTTTGTTCCAGGATCCAATCCAGAACACAACATCACATTCAGCTGTAATGTCTCCTTTGTCTCCTCCACTTTTTGATTATTTCTTAGTCTTTCCTTGTTTTCCTTCGCTTTGAAACTTCTGAATAGTACTGCTCACATATTCTTTGTAGAAGATCTAGAATGTCCCTCAATTTGGGCTTGTCTGATATTTTCTCATAGTTAGACTGAGATTATGGATTTGGGAATACCACCGAGGTACTTTTACTTATCACATGATATTAGGGAGTAAATGATACTAACTTGACTTATCATTAGTGATATTAACCTTGATCACTTGATTAAGGTAGTACTTGCCAGGTTTCTCCTGCTTGCCAGGTTTCTGTAAAGCTACTATTTTCCCTTTCCATACTCTATTCTTTGCAAAGGAGTCTTTAAATCCAGTCTACACTCAAGGAGAGGATAATTATATACTTCTCAGGAGTGGAGAATAACTACACATATTGTTTCTTCTATTCATACTTAATTATGGGAAACAGAGGTAGTAGCATTTACAGTAAGTCTCAAAAGGCAGACATTTGAGTGCTTACCTAAAGGAAAAAGTTTATTTGTTAACTATTCTTACCTACCAGTATCAAGATACCAAAGATCCTTGCAGCAAACTTGACTATTCAGTGCTTTTTTGTAGCCATCTCTTCCACTCCAAAAATACAATCGAGTGCCAATTGCAACAGCGCAGTGGCCAGCTCTTGGTCTTGGTCTTGAATTTTTTTTATCTTCCTGAGAATCTGATACTAGGGTGGTCCACTCTGTTGTATCTGAAAAGATAGAAATATCCATGACTAATTTTTTTTCTTAACAAAATTACAAAAATCACCTTATTAATAAAGTTTAATTCAATGAGTAACTCTTAAAAAACTCACCCAGATTTAGGTAAGAAAATGAACTGGTACATCTCCATTCACAATCATGAGGTGAAGTCTCAGTATTTTCCCCCTTATGTGGGACCCATCCACCAAAAATGTACATCCTGAGCAACAACAAAACAAAAACATAAAGTAGCTTATTTCATTTTACTTCTTGGATTTGAAGTGCGAAGAATAGAAAACTCTCCTATCAGTTGACTCAGAGCTCCAGAACTATTCATTCACTTACCATTGTCAAGGTAATGGGAATAAGAAGATGAATAAAGTGGTCTTCTTTCAAGAGTTTACAATTTTATGAAGCAATACAGAATCACAATTGTTTCTCTCTGGCAAGTTACTTAAAGTGAAGAATATTTTGATTATAATATATTTAAAAATCAATATTGCCTATAATATACTAAGGGTACCTCAGTCAGAAAGATACTCAATTGATCTATGACATCCAAAGTCAAATTTAAAATTGTATGCATATAGTAACCAAAGAGGATTAAATTTCATATAACTTTGGTCATTGATATCACTTAAACAAAAAACTTTAAACTGTGTTCCTTTAGGGCCCTAGGAGTTCTGAAGACAAGCCTGATGGCTGCTGGAAGAGAAAGGCTCATCAGGTAGAAATCAGGGCCCATGTGACCTGATGTCAACCAGAGATCTATTTTTTTTTTTATGCCAATCCGAGATTTTTTTTTTTTTTGAGACAGGATCTTGTCCTGTTGCCCAGGCTAGAGTGCAGTGGCATGATAATGGTCCACTGCAAACTCAACCTCCTGGGCTCAGGCCATCCTTCCACCTTGGCCTTCCAAAGTGCTGGGATTATAGGTGTGAGCCACCATGCCCGGCCAGAGCTCTATTTTTTAAAATCCATTTTATATGTTGGGGTTTCAATGGAAAATTACATTTTATAAAATGGCTCTTCAGTTAAAAAAATGTATAAAAATGTCTAAGATTTTGTTTAAATGTAAAGAACATCCTGTTTGGTTTTGAGTTTATTTAAAAAAAAAACAAACTAGGTTCTAAATTACAACAATCATTTCCTAAAATATTACATTTAAGGTAGAATCCCTGAAGTAGTAACTATTTCATTAAATTCTGATTAAACAGTACTCCTAATTGTGGCACAATGTTGCACAAATAAGGGAATTTGTTGATGGTAGTAATAGCCAACATTTATGGAGTGCTCACTTCATACCAGAAACTGTTCTAAGCATTTCATATGTATTAATTCATTTAGTCTTCATTACAGCCTTGTCAAGTAGGTTTTACTTTAATCCACATTGTATACTTAAGGAAAGTGAGGTACAAACATATTAAATTTTCTTGCCCCAGGTCATACAGGACAAGTGCCAAAGCTGAGTCTTGAATTTAGGCCATCTGGTTACAGAGTTTGTATTCTAACCATCAACTCTATATTGCCATCTAAAGCATAATCATTAAGAGCATGTGCCTCAGTACAAATGAAGCAATACCAAAAATATGAAAAAGGAAACAGTGAGTTAGGTGATTAGTTTGGCAACACCCAGGTTTACACTTACATAAAGCCTACTCTGGGCAAGGCATTATAAGGAATGCAAAGAAGTAAAAGAGAGAGCATAAGAAAATGGCATATTAAGTATTTTTGCTTCTACAGACAAATTATTTTAGCTCCAGTAAGCACAATCAAACTTTATTAACCTTCATAATCTATTTCTAAGAAACTACTAGCGTTACTTTCTTTGTGGGCTTCTTAAGTTGTTTTTTTAAAAAAAAAAAAAACAGAAGCAAAATACAAAAAACCACCATACTTGTTTCCTATAACACTGGCTGTATGAAGGCTTCGTGGAAGTGGCACTGTCCCTTTAGTTTCTGGTTTTGACCATGACATAGTTTCTAAAAGTAAAAATAATTATATTAGCAACTTGATCTAACAACAGTAAATTACCTCAACTTGCATAATTTCAAAAAATAAAACAAGGACTTACCAAAATGAAACAAAGTATTTTAAAACAATTATTTGAACATTATCTTAAACATTTCCAGCTTACATAAACTGCCAATCAGAAATCTATTTATACTTAATGTTAGTACAGTTAGCCCTCTGTATCCATGGGTCCTGCATCAACAGATTCAATTAACCACAGATTGAAAATAATCACAAAAAACTTTGGTTGCACTGAACATGTTTTCTTTTTGTCATTATTCCCTAAACAATACAGTATAACAACCATTTATATAGTATTTACATTATATTAGGTGTTATAAGTAATCTCAAGTGGAGATGATTTAAAGAATATGGGAGAATATGCAAATATTACACCACTTTATATCAGGGACTTGAGCATCCATGGATTTTGGTATCCAGGATATCCATGGTATTCAGGAGGTCCTGAATAAATCCTCCACAGATACCGAAGGATGACTGTATTTGTAATAAATAAGTGTGCTTAGGGTACTACCAATTTTGAATTAAGAATATTAGAGATTTTATCATTTAAAGTAAGAGTACACTGGACAGAAGATAGTCAAAGGTGAGAGGCACACTACCCTCCAATCATTCATTCCTAAGATCCCTTTAGAGAGAACTACTTAAGGGTTTTCTACTGACCACGAATAACATTGTTAATGCTACATTTCCTGTAGATAAGGTAACCATATAAAGTTAACATCCTGTACAGGACATTTTTCAGAGTGAAAGGGAGTATTGTACTATTGATAATTACACAAGACAATAAGCATAAACCAGAATCATCCCAGGTAAACCAGGACATACGGTAACCCTGTTTACAGAACGCACAAGAGAGTTACTATCATAAACCAAACATTCATTTTCTCAATCTGATTTATCAGCAACCATTCATATCACATATCAGCTGTCCCTGGGGCCACAAGTGCTAGTTATAAATCTAAGTACAACTCAATAAATACTGCAATCAATAATATTTTTCAAAGCATCTTTTAATTTGCCTTATTCCTGAGCCTGAATCAAGTTAAACTTACCTAAGTCAAGCTGCCATAGGTCATCCAGGCGAGCACCACACATTCCACCAAAAACATACATTTTCGGACCTCCAGAATCTTTTTTGCAATATATAACAGCTGTGTGGGATTCTCTTGGAGAAGGCACAACCCCTTTAGTCACTGGAATGCTCCAACCCACAACACCAGAGCCATGCTGTAGCTCCAACTCATAAAAATCATTTAAATATCTAGAATATCATAGGAAAAATTAAAATATTCAGATAATATATACCCTTTCTTTGCATTTTATTTCTATTTATAAAGATAAAATGTGCTTACTATGAAAAGTTCATATAGTACAGAAAGGCATTAGGAGAGCAGAAAACCCCAAACCTCATTCATACAATACATACTTATCAAACACTACTATGTACCAGGCACTCTTCTGGAGCTCAGTAGTGAGCAGAAGAGATTAAGAATAATTCCTGTTATCATTTAGCCAACACTCTTATCAATGACAACTTGCCAACTGTTGGTGTTAAAACATAGCTACAAATCCTCTGACACTCTTCCCATCGGGAAGTTGGGTCTATGTTCCCTTCCCTTGATTCTGGACTGGTTTGTGATTGCTTTGATTAATAGGGTATATGACTTCTGAGGCTGCGTCACAGAAGGCCTAACCGGCTTAAGTAGAACACTTACTCTTGGAATCCTGAACCACCATGTAAGAAGTTCAACTCCCATAAAACTACCATCTGGATGGCCATATGCAGGTATGTAGGGTGACAGAACCAGCTGAGTCTGTCCTTCAGCCATTGCAGTTGAGGCATCAGGCACAGAAGTAACCCCTTCAAGACTTCTCAGCTGAGGGCCCAGCCATCCCTCCTGTGGCCTATCTAAATTCCTGACCCACAGAATCCATGAACATAATCAAATGGTTATTATTCTGCATCACTAAATTTTGGGGCAGTTTACTGTATGGTACTAGATAACCAGAACAATCACTATTGAAAATATTTTGGTACATATCCCTTAAGACACCTCTGTCTATGGATAAACACATATGGATAAATGAGGCATACTAAAAATACTGCTTTGCAACCTTTAAAATTTTCATTATAATGTCATAGCAATGTCCTACATAGTTTTTAACTTTAGAAACTGGCACTAAGTTTCATGGATGTTTTTGAAGTTTTGCGCAAAATGACTTTTGTAGAAATTTATTTCCTACAAAATTATTATTCAAATGTAAGGGCAAATATTAAAACATTTCAGGACATATAAAACTTCAAAGTTTAGCTACATAATTGTTTTGGGGAAAATAATTCTAGGATGTTATCTAGGAAAAAGAAAAAGAAATATAATACTTTGAATAGGCCTGGCGTGGTGGCTCATGCCTGTAATCCCAGCACTTTGGGAGGCTGAGGCGGGAGGATCACGAGGTCAGGGGATCGAGACCATCCTAGCTAATACGGTGAAACCCAGTCTCTACTAACAAAAGTACAAAAAATTAGCCAGGCATGGTGGTGGGCGCGCCTGTAGCCCCAGCTACTTGGGAGGCTGAGGCAGGAGAATGGCGTGAACCTGGAAGGCAGAGCTTGCAGTGAGCCGAGATCACACCACTGCACTCCAGCCTGGGTGACAGAGCGAGACTCCGTCTCAAAATAAATAAATAAATAATAAAGAAATAATACTTTGAATAAGAGAAATGGTAGTAATTTGTGGTTACATCTAAACTGATGTTGAAATCTGTGGTTATGAGATCTAAATAACCACTAAGAAAAATTTACTACTAAGTTAATTTTTAAAATTTATCATAACCTGGATTAAGATTCAAAAATACATGGAACATACAGAAAAATGAAGTAGGCAAAAGAATGTTAAAATAAAGACAGTAATTTATTCCCAAGGTTGACAGGATATTTTCATTGTAAATGTGTGTTAATTTCCAAGCAACTAAGCTATGCACAAAATTAGCACATATAATTCTCAGATCACTATAGGGAAACAGTCAAAGAAAAATAATAAACAGGGGAAGAGTAAAGAAATGGGGAAAAAAGCAAAGTATAGTATATAGAAAGCAGTTAATAAGATAGTTAAAAAAAAAAAAAAAAAACAGGCCAGGGCCAGGTGCTGTGGTTCACACCTGTAATCTCGGCAGTTTGGGAGGCCAAGGGGGGTGGATCACCTGAGGTTAGGAGTTCAAGACCAGCCTGGCCAACATGGTGAAACCCTGTCTCTACTAAAAATACAAAAATTAGCTGGGCGTGGTTGCGGGCGCCTGTAATCTCAGCTACTCAGGAGGCTGAGGCAGGAGAATCACTTGAACCCGGGTGGTGGAGGTTGCAGTGAGCTGAGATCACACGGCTGCAGTCCAGCCTGGGTGACAGAGCGAAACTCCATCTCAAAAAAACACAAAAAACGAAAAACCCCCACCATAAACAATGTCAAAAGAAAAAAGGACAAACTTAAAAAGTTTAGCACATGTTGCAGAAAAAAAGGTCAAATTTTCCTAAAACCCAAGATAATGACCACTCACACAATAGACACAGATAAAAAGATAGAAACTGACAGTTCACAGAACAGGAAATAAAAATTACATAAACATATATATATACACACACACAGACACAGATGTATAAACATGCACGTACACGAACACTCATATACATATACATATACATATGCAAATGTTTTCCATCATCACAACTTAGCAAAAAATCTGGCATAGGCAAGAAAAGGGAGGAAGGGCAACAAAGCAGAGTAGATGGAAAACACAAAACACAAGGGCAGAATAAAACTGCCCTATTATAAGACAAAGTCTGGTCAGGGTTGATGGTGGGGGCAGGAATACAGAGGAAACAAAATACAAGAACCCCAAATCTAAGTATAAGTGATGAAAATCAAGGATAATATTAAAACTATCTTAAACTAATGTGGAATAGGCTTAAACTGTTGAGAATGGACATCAGCCAGTATGCTATCCAGTTCATACTGGCTATTAGCCCCATTTACAAAAAATAAATCTACAACAAAACAGTGTACACAAGTTGAAAATTAGATATACAAGAAACAAAACACAAATCCACAATCATGGTGGGAGACTTGAGCATGTCACTCAAAAGTTGATAAGACCTAGACTCACAAAATAAAAAAGCTTTGAACATTTATTTAATAGAGCCAGGTGCAATGGCACATGCCTGCAGTCCCAGCTACTCAGGAGACTGAGGTAGGAAGATTACTTGAGCCTAGGAGTTATCCAGCCTGAGCAACATAGCAAGACCACATCTCTAAAATCAATAATAATAAATACATAAAACATTGATTTAATAGATAACCTTGCACACAGTCAAGAACTCATGGTCTTAATGAGCACCTATGGAATCACAAAAATTGACTGTGAAATAGACACAAACATCTTTATAGACCACATTTCCTGACCACAATATAATAAAACTAGATATTGGCAATAATAACAAAACTTTCCACTTGGAGATCTTTAAACAATTGTAGCAAATTACTTTTAAAGAGAAAATAGAAATCAATGACAATAAAAGCAGTCTGTATCAAACCCTATGGGATACAGTCAAAGATATAATCACATGAAAATAACACTGAAAAATGAACTAAGGAGCATTCAAATTATTAGAAGTTAGAAAAAGCATTCAAACTACTAGAAGTTTAAAAGATGCTGGGCATGATGGCTTAAGCGGGTAATCCCAGCACCTTGGGAGACTGAGGTAGGAGGACTGCTTGAGGCCAGGAGTTCAAGACTAGCCTGGACAATCTGGCAAGATCCTGTCTCAACAAAAATTTTAAAAATTAACCAGGCATGGCTGCATGTGTCTATAGTCCTAGCTACTCAGAAGGCTGAGGTGGGAGTATAGCTTGAACCCAAGAGTTCAAGGCTGCAGTAAGCTATGATTGTGTCACCACACTAGCCTGGGTGACAGAATGGGATCCTGTCTCTAAAAAAAAAAAAAAAAAAAAGTTAGGAATAAAAGTTGAAAGAAATGGAATAGAGTTAAAAAGTTTAAGAAAATAAACTAAAAAGAAAAACAGTCAATAAAACTAAAAAACAGCTCTTTGAAATAAATAAAATAACAAATCACTAGCAAGTCTGATTAGACAATACTAACACTTAGGGATAAGAAAAGAGATATAACAACGGATATAGAGATTTTAAAGATAGAGAGAATTGTCTTTATAACTTTAAAACATTTTTAAATAAATAAATTAAAAAAATTTTTAAGACAGGGCTCATTACATTGCCCAGGCTAGATTTGAACTCCTGGGTTCAGATGATCCTCCTGCCTCAGACTCCCAAGCAGCTGGGACTATAGGTGTGTACCACCACACCTGGCTATCTTATAACTTTTAGAAATAAATTTAAAAATCTAGATAAATGGGTAACTTCTCAAAAAAAAAAAATTACCAAAAATTACAAAAGGTTGAAAACCTAAATAGACCAATACTCAAAGAAGAAATTGAAAAGGCAATCAAAGATCAAATACCAATCCCAAGTAAATATGGAAAATTTCTACTAAATATTCAAGGAATTACATTATTTAAATATAATAAAAGATGGAGGGCTTTCCATGACCTCAGAACATAACCCTGATTATGTTTTCAAGGATAACATAATCCTGATACTCAAATCAGATTACAATAGCACCCTACTCCCCCAAATAACACAGGCAAAATCGCTAATAAATATAGGTATTATAAATAAATGTTAGAAATGTGATTCAGCAAAGAAAAAATTCACAAAATTCATGTATTAAAGGAGAGACACAGTAAGCTCCAAAATGAATTTAAACTACCTCAATATACATTTCTTGTTAAAAAGAGAAAAATAAAACTAATAAGCTGGAAATTTAAGAACATTTTGGCCAGGCATGGCAGCTTACGCCTATAATCCCAACACTTTGGGAGGCCAAGGTGGGAGGATCACTTGACCCCAGGAGTTCAAGACCAGCTTGGGCAACATGGAAAGACCTTGTCTCTACGAAAAAGAAAAAAAAAGTTTTAAAATTAACTGGGCATGGTGGCATGCACCTGTGGTCCCAGCTAGCTACTCAAGAGGCTGAGGCAGGAGGGCTGTCTGAGCACAGGAGGTCGAGGCTGTAGAGAGCTGTGATCATGCCACTGTACTCCAGCCCCAGGTGACAGAGTGAGGCTCTGTCTCAAAAAGAAAAGAAAAGAAAAATGTCCTTAATGTTATTAAAATCACATACCAACAACCTAT